GGTGGGGAGGGGGGGGAAGAAGGATTTGCAGAGCCAGTCTAAAAAAAATTCGGAAAAAGGAGTTATAAATAAAAAACTGCACTATTTTTAAAACAAACTTACATGTAGCAGAAAAACGCCATCCGGGCGAAGAAAATTTTGCACAAAGCGATATGTATCCTCGGATTCACATTCCAAAAATTTGGTGATAAATGCATGCCGCCAATTTGTGAACACCAATGAAAATGTCCAAACAATTAGGTTGATCAGTGTGGCTAACGATAAGAGAAATAACCATAGCCAAAGAAAAACAAAAATTTTTTCGGTAAACATATTAATGACGAGCACACACTGGACAGTATGTCGATGAACATTTCCAACAACTCGAATTTCAAAATCACATAGGGTAACCCTTGGAAATTTACCAGATTCTCTCCATTCACTTCCCTGTAATTTAATAAGTTCTGTTTTTTTTTCCAGTTTGTATCTCATAGAAAAAAAAAAAAAAAGGAACAGTGGGTTGGCAGCAATAGGAATAATCACTATCAATGGACTTTTTACTATCAATGGACCAGTTTGAATGGATCTTTTTCGTATCAACAATTAGCAAAGTTTTGTGTTCTCAAATCAAATAATAATTCACTGAACTGTTTTGTAAATCATTCAAACTGGTTCAGCTACTAATTGCTCTGCTGACAATTCTTGTATAAACGAATGTTTATCAGAAAGGATTCTGCTTAGAAGCAGCACTATGCGAAGCAAATGCAAAATAAATCCTTTTTGATCATTCAAATATGGATAACAAACAAGAAAGCTATAAATGTTTATTAAAATAATCAAAAAAGTCAGTTAAGAAATTGATTAAGTCTAACAGCTCAGTTTATCTACAGGTAATGCCGACGTTTTTACTACTGTTATCCCAAAGTTTAATTTGCATTTATAGATTATCTTCAAAAATAATCTTAATAATAATAAAAAAAATTAGCGTTATTATTCTCCTGTTCTTATCTACTTATAGATTACAAAATCTGACAAAAAAAAG